GTTATGGGGGACTTTAACTTTCCAAATATTGACTGGAAACGCTATAGTTTGAGTACTTTAGATGGGTCAGTTTTTGTCCAATGTGTGCAGGAGGGTTTCCTGACACAGTATGTAGATAGGCCAACAAGAGGCGAGGCCACATTGGATTTGGTACTGGGTAATGAACCAGGCCAGGTGTTAGATTTGGAGGTAGGTGAGCACTTTGGTGATAGTGACCACAATTCAGTTACGTTTACTTTAGCGATGGAAAGGGATAGGTATATACTGCAGGGCAAGAGTTACAGCTGGGAGAAAGGCAATTATGAGGCAATTAGGCAAGATTTAGGATGCATAGGATGGAGAAGGAAACTGCAGGGGCTGGGCACAATTGAAATGTGGAACTTGTTCAAGGAACAGCTACTGCGTGTCCTTGATAAGTATGTACCTGTCAGGCAGGGAGGAAGTGGTCGAGTGAGGGAACCGTGGTTTACTAAAGAAAATGAACCTCTTGTCAAGAGGAAGAAGGAGGCTTATGTAGAGATGAGACGTGAAGGCTCAGTTAGGGCGCTTGAGAGTTACAAGTTAGCCAGGAAGGATCTAAAGAGAGAGCTAAGAAGAGCCAGGAGGGGACATGAGAAGTCTTTAGCAGGTAGGATCAAGGAAAACCCTAAATCTTTCTATAGGTATGTCAGGAATAAAAGAATGACGAGAGTAAGATTAGGGCCAGTCAAGGACATAGTGGGAAGTTGTGCGTGGAGTCTGAAGAGATAGGAGAGGCACTAAATGTATTTTTTGTCAGTATTCACACAGGAAAAAGACAATGTAGTCGAGGAGAATACTGAGATACAGTCTATTAGACTAGACGGGATTGAGGTTCATAAGGAGGAGGTGTTAGCAATTCTGGAAGGTGTGAAAATAGATAAGTCCCCTGGGCCGGATGGGATTTATCCTAGGATTCTCTGGGAAGCTAGAGAGGAGATTGCAGAGCCTTTGGCTTTGATCTTTATGTCGTCATTGTCTACAGGAATAGTGCCAGAAGACTGGAGACTAGCAAATGTTGTCCCCTTGATCAAGAAGGGGAGTAGAGACAACCCTGGTAATTATAGACCAGTGAGCCTTACTTCGGTTGTGGGTAAAGTGTTGGAAAGGATTATAAGAGATAGGATTTATAATCATCTAGAAAGGAACAATTTGATTAGGGATAGTCAACATTGTTTTGTGAAGGGTAGATCGTGCCTCACAAACCTTATTGAGTTCTTCCAGAAGGTGACCAAACAGGTGGATGAGGGTAAAGCGGTTGATGTGGTGTATATGGATTTCAGTAAAGCGTTTGATAAGGTTCCCCATGGTAGGCTATTGCAGAAAATACGGAGGCATGGGATTGAGGGTGATTTAGCGGTTTGGAACAGAAATTGGCTAGCTATAAGAAGACAGAGGGTGGTGGTTGATGGGAAATGTTCATCCTGGAGTTCAGTTACTAGTGGTGTACCTCAAGGATCTGTTTTGGGGCCACTGCTGTTTGTCATTTTTATAAATGACCTGGATGAGGGCGTAGAAGGATGGGTTAGTAAATTTGTGGATGACACCAAATTCGGTGGAGTTGTGGATAGTGCGGAAGGATGTTGCAGGTTACAGAGGGACATAGATAAGCTGCAAAGCTGGGCTGAGAGGTGGCAAATGGAGTTTAATGCGGAAAAGTGTGAGGTGATTCACTTTGGAAGGAGTAACAGGAATACAGATTACTGGGCTAATGGTAAGATTCTTGGTAGTGTGGATGAGCTGAGAGATCTCGGTGTCCATGTGCATAGATCACTGAAAGTTGCCACCCAGGTTGATAGCGTTGTTAAGAAGGCGTACAGTGTGTTAGGTTTTATTGGTAGAGGGATTGAGTTTCGGAGCCATGAGGTCATGTTGCAGCTGTACAAAACTCTGGTGTGGCCGCACTTGGAGTATTGCGTACAGTTCTGGTCACCGCATTATAGGAAGGATGTGGAACTATTGGAAAGGGTGCAGAGGAGATTTACCAGGATGTTGCCTGGTATGGAGGGAAGGTCTTATGAGGAAAGGCTGAGGGACTTGAGGCTGTTTTCATTAGAGAGAAGAAGGTTAAGAGGTGACTTAATGGAGACATACAAGATGATCAGAGGATTAGATAGGGTGGACAGTGGGAGCCCTTTTCCTCGGATGGTGATGGCTAGCACGAGGGGACATAGCTTTAAATTAGATATCGGACAGATGTCAGAGGTAGGTTCTTTACTCGAAGAGTAGTAAGGGCATGGAATGCCCTGCCTGCAAATGTAGTAGACTCGCCAACTATAGGGGCATTTAAATGGTCATTGGGTAAACATATGGATGATAATGGAATAGTTTAGGTTAGATGGGCTTCAGATTGGTTTCACAGGTCGGCGCAACATCGAGGGCCGAAGGGCCTGTACTGCGCTGTAATGTTCTATGTTCTATGTTCTATGTTCTAATACCACTAGGCCATTGCCTTCCCTGAGGGAAGGCATTGGAAAGTTTATAAAAACCAACAGAGGGCAACAAAAACAAAAATAAGGAGGGAGAAGATTAAATATGAGAGTAAGCTAGCCAGTAATATAAAGGAGGACTGTAAGAGTTTCTTTAGATATATAAAGGGCAAAAGAGATGCAAAAGTGAACATTGAACCACTGGAAAATGACGGTGGAGAGATGTTCGTGGGGAACAAGGAAATGGCTGAGGAACTGAATAATTACTTCGCATCAGTCTTCACGGTTGAAGACGTGAGTAATCTCCCAAAAATTCAAGAGTCAGGAGGCAGAGCTGAGTATGGTGGCCATCACCAAGGAGAAGGTGCAAGTAAAACTGATTGGCCTGAAGGTGGACAAATCACCTGGACCAGATGGACTACACCTCAGAGTTCTAAAGGAGATAGCTGAAGAAATAGTGGGAGTGTTAGTGGTGATCTTTCAGAAATCACTAGAATCAGGAAGGGTCCCAGAGGGCTGGAAAATCACTAACGTGACACCCCTGTTTAAAAAGAGAGTAAGGCAAAAGACTGAAAATTACAGGCCGATTAGCCTAACCTCAGTCATGGGTAAGATTTTGGAGTCCATTGTAAAGGATGAGATTGCTGAATATTAGTAAAATAGGGCAAAGTCAGCATGGTTTCATCAAGTGGAGGTCATGCCTGACAAATCTAGATAGATAGAATCCCTACAGTGTGGAAACAGTCCCTTTGGCCCAATAAGCCCACACTGACTCTCAGAGCATCCCACCCAGACCCATCCCCCTATAACCCACCTAATCTACACCTCCCTGAACACTATGGGTAATTCAGCATGCCATTCCACCTAACCTGCATATCTTTGGACTGGGGGAGGAAACTGGAGCACCTGGAGGAAACCCACACAGACATGGGGAGAATGTGCAAACTCCACACAGACAGTTAACCAAAGGTGGAATTGAACCTGGGTCCCTGGCGCTGTGAGGCAGCTGTGCTAACCACTGAGCCACTGTGCTGCCCCAAATCTGTTAGAATTCTTTGAGGAAGTAATGGGCAGGTTAGACCAAGGAAAGCCAATGGATGTTATCTACCAGGATTTCCAGGAGGTCTTTGACAAGGTGTCACACAGGAGGCTGCTGAGTAAGGTAAGGGGTCCATGGTGTTAGAGGCAATGTGCTAGACTGGATAGAAGATTGGCTGTCTGGCAGAAAGCAGAGAGTAGGGATAAAGGGGTCTTTCTCAGGATGGCACAAGTCGTGTTCCGCAAGGGTCAGTGCTGGGACCACAACTTTTCACTTTGTACATTAATGATCTAGATGAAGGAACTGTGGGCATTCTGGCTAAGTTTGCAGACAATACAAAGATAGATGGAGGGACAGGTAGTATTGAGGAGGTGGGGAGGCTTCAGAAGGATTTGGACAGGTTAGGAGAGTGGGCAGAGAAGTGCAGATGGAGTACAAAGTGGGAAAGTGTGAGGTCATGCACTTTGGTAAGAAGAATAAAAGCATGGACTATTTTCTAAATGGGGAGAAAATTCAGAAGTCTGAAGTGCAAAGAGACTTGGGAATTCTAGTCCAGGATTCTCTCAAGGTAAGCTTGGAGGTTGAGTCAGTAGTCAGGAAGGTAAATGCAACTTTGGCATTTATTTTGAGAGGACTTGAATATAAAAGCAGGGATGTACTACTGAGGCTTTATAAGGCTCTGGTCAGGCCACATTTGGAGTATTGTGTGCCCCATATCTCAGGAAGGATGTACTGGCCGTGGAGAGGGTTCAGAGGAGGTTCATGAGAATGGTCCCAGGAATGGAAAGCTTAACATATGAGGAATGTTTGAGGACTCTGAGACTATACTCAATGGAGTTTAGAAGGACGAGGGGGGATCTAACTGAAACTTGCAGAATAGTGAATGGCCTGGACAGAGTGGATGCTGGGAAGATGTTTACATTGGTAGGAGAGACTAGGACCCGTGGACACAGCCTTAGCGTAAAGGGAAGACCATTTAGAATGGAGATAAGGAGAAACTTCTTCAGCCAGAGAATGATGAATCTATGGAATTCACTGCCACAGAAGGCTGTGGAGGCCAGGTCATTGAGTACATTTGAGACTGAGATAGATAGGTTCTTCATTGTCAAGGGTTACGAGGAGAAAGTGGGAGAATGGGGTTGAGGAACTTATCAGCCATGATTGAATGACAGAGCAGACTCGATGGGCCAAATGGCCTAATTTCTGCTCCTATATCTTATGGTCTTATGGGTACTGCAGGGTTCAGTGTTTGGACCCCAGCTATTCACAGTATATGTTAATGATTTACTTGAGGGAACTGCATGCCATATCTCCAAACTGGCAGATGACATAAAGCTGGGTGGGAGAGTGAGCTGTGAGGAGGATGCGGAGATGCTGCAGTGTTTAACTTTTAAATCCCATGTGGGTGAGTGCTTGAAATATCACAACAGTCAAGGCGATGGGCCAAATTCTAGAAAGTGTGACTAATGCCCACTTAGAGACGTCTTTTTTCAGTGCAGACTCAATGGGCTGAAGGGTCTCTTCTGAACTGTAGGGATTCTATGATGTTGCAGTGTGATTTGGACAGGCTGAGTGAGTGGGCAGATGCAGTATTACATGGATAAAGGTGAGGTTATCCACTTTGGTCACAAAAACAGGAAGGCGGATTGTTATCGATAGACTAGGAAAGGGGGAGGTGTAACGAGACCTGGGTGTCCTTAGACACGGTCTGAGGATATGAGCATAGTGTAGGTAGGTTAGAGTCACAGAGCCATACAGCTGAGAAACAGACCCTTGGCCCAGATCCTCCATGCCAACCAGGTTTTATCGTCCCATTTGCCTAACACATGGGCCAAAACTAGAGGGGCATAGGTTTAAGGTGAGAGAGAAAAGATTTAAAAGGGACCTGAGGGGCAGTTTTTTCACACAGAGGATGGTGCGTGTATGGAATGAGCCGCCAAAGGAAGTGGTGGAGGCTGGTACAATCACAACATTTAAAAGGCAACTGGATGGGTACCCCAATAGGAAAGGTTTGAAGGGATATGGACCAGGAGCAGGCAGGTGAGACTAGTTAAGTTTGGGATTATGGTCGGCACGGACTGGTTGGACCGAAGGGTCTGTTTCCGAGCTGTATGACTCTATAATTCCTTGTCAGAAATGCTTTGTATAATCTCCAGTTGTGACTCTCACCAGAACACTCGCTGAGTTGAAACGGGCCACAGCACAGGTGAATTCTCCACTGGGTGCGAACATTATCCTTCATTAAACAGTGAAACACAAAGATGAAGAGTCCTGTGAAGATGAAGCAAATAATTGGAGGAGTTTAGCTTCTGTGGACAGCAATGAGAAAGCACAGTGTTTAAATTGCTCCAAACTACAGCATGAGAATACTGAGTAAAACATTAACATCTCAGACCAGCCCTTCTCCAGCCTGTTACACAGGAACAGCACGAGGCCATTCAGCCCCCTCCTTGTGCCTGTTACACAGGAACAGCAGGAGGCCATTCAGCCCCCTCCTTGCGCCTATTCCAACAGGAACAGCAGGAGGCCATTCAGTCCTGTCCTCAGGTCTGTCAGTCAGGAACAGGAGGAGACCATTCAGCCCCTTCAATCTATCAACATGGGCCCATCCACTCTCCTGCCCTCAATCCCTCTTAACTGTCAAAAATCTCTTCATCCATTTTGAAGTTTCAATTGACTCCCAGATTTGATGTAGTGGGGTTGAAGTGGAGGTGGTACAGAAGGGGAGAAGGTTCCAGAATTCCCCTTCAATTGTGTAAGGAAGAACTTTCCAGCATCAGCCGTGAATGGACTGGGGTCTCCTGTCTCACACTCTGAGGGTGGGGAGGTGGGGTCCCTGCCCCACACTCTGGGGTGGGGTCCCTGCCCCACACTCTGGGTGGGAGTCCATGCCCCACACTCTGGATGGGGGGTGGTCCCTGCCCCACACTCTGGGGGGTCCCTGCCCCACATTCTGGTGGGGGGGGAGGGGGTCGGTCCCTGCCCCACATTCTGGTGGGGGGGGTGGTCCCTGCCCCACACTCTGGGTGGGGGCCCATGCCCCACACTCTGGAGGGGGTCCATGCCCCACACTCTGGGGGGGT